ATCCACTCTTACCCTACTTAAACCAAACAGATGTTAGCTGCAAATCAGTGGCACAAAAATCATGCTATCTGTGTTATGGACACAAATATTGAGCATCTGTGGCATGACCAGGAGTTTGGGTGTCTTTTTGCTTGGTCTTTGTGTTGCCATAGAAATGTTTATGGCAGCACAAAGTCTCTTTATACCCTCAGTGATGTTCCTGACTCAAGGAGTTTGCAATTTCAAATCCTCATTCTTTACCTGTTAAAATGAAAGAAAGCATTGCCATTTGCTTTAATACAAGTAACAACAGTCCCAGTAGACAGATACTGGGAGACCAAAAACAGCTTTAATATAAAACTTTAGAATGCATGAAGAAAAAATAAATAAAAGGATGACAATAGTATAATAGGGAAGCAGTACTGATGTGGTTCGTTGCAGGACAAATGAGAGGATGTGTGTGCATTTATGTTTTAACAGGAAAGTTTGAGGCGGTACAACTGGCACACTCAATCCTTGCATATTTTTTCTTCACTCAGATTCATTCTTGCACCCCTCCAGCAGTCAGAACTCCCACAGAGTTCAGTGAGAGGTAATGTCATAAAGTAGTCATACGGTAGTATAGGATAAGATCCAAACTGAAGAGCTTCCAATACCAGAATTTCACTAGTGCTAAGTTTAGTAGCTCCTTCCTTTCAGTTAAGTGTTAGTAAAGTGTTGCCTTTTGCCTAGGTTTTGCCATAAGCATCCCACCTTTGGCTTTCTATTTTTTCCTTAAATCTGTACATCAGGTGATTTTTATAGCCTTAATTTAAATTAGCTAGTGTGAAGTCATATTGAAGTATGTCATTCTAGCCAGGAAGATGATATCACTTCTTAAAAGAGAGCCTTATATATATCATATAAGCAGCTAGTGCCATTTGCAGAGGTTCCCATTCAAATGAAGAAATGTAAATGCCCAAGTGGCCAAGTCTTTCACACACATAACTTCTTCATGGAGAGTACTGAACAGCGAAGGCTTGCTAAACTGCCTGTAAATCAGGAGGATCAAAATCTCCCAAAGTAATAAAAATCTAAAAGTCAAAAACAGTCTTTCTATGACTAAAGCCTTGTTGTAAGGAATGGCCAGTTAAAACAGAAAAATATCCCCCTTAAAAAATCAAAACATGAAGTACTTTGTGCTACTGCAGTAATGTTATCTATACTGCAAATAGCAAAATTGGAACATTTTTGGAAGAGAGATCTTTTTCTACATTTCATATTTCAGTTATAGATTATTTTAACAGCAGGTCTAGTTGATCCATTTTCATGCAGAAATGATTAAATATTAACACATTCATGTTAAATAATTAAACCATGCATTTCAAGGAAATGTAGGTAACTGAAAACTAAGAATGGGCCCAATTCCAAATGGTGTAAATCAGAGTGTTTGGCTCTGAACTCATAGCTCAATTATATCTTAAGAAGGGGATGAATATAGACATCAGATTGGAAAGCCCCTAATCCTTGTATCCAGATATTTAAGACAAAAGTTCAGAAATGTCTGTTCCAAGGGTTAGGGTTTATTTCTACTTTAAATAAACACATGTGTAGAACCTGGAAGTCCTACTATCATCACTGTCCCCAAAGACGGTATATAACAGCTACTTGGACAATGGTATCAGTAAGTTGCGTTTTAGGAAACTGACTTCCATACTCTAATATTGAAAAGACTTGACTGAAATGGTCTGTTGAATCCTCATAAGTAAAATGAAGGCCTTGTCTGGTCTCAACACCCTCTATTTATGGTCAAGGGGTGAAACCACAGGTAATTTGTAATCATACCCAATTCAGTCTGGGAAAAGGAATTTTGTATACCACTGCAACAGCCAAAACACTATATAAACTTTCGTTCACATCTGGGACAAGTGAAAACCCGCTTGCCTGCTTCTCTGTTAGGACCTAGCCTTGTGAAATACTCTTAACTTCAACTCTCATTGACATTTCTGAGAGTTGAAGGTACTTGGTGCAAGAGTGAACAAAACTTGGAATTTATATATCACAAGAAATTTTGACATTTCAAAATTAGTTTTAATTTCAAATCATAACAAAAAGAAATGGTTCTGAAAGTGCTTGTGAAATGGAGATTTAATAATTGGTGGTGCTGCTTTCACATCTTGTAGTATTACTGCTTTAAGACATGGTTATTCTGGAGATAAATATAAAAGGTGACTGAAGTTAAAAGGCTAATGGATTCATTAGTAGGGAATTTAGATGTTTGCGATTTGATAGTAAAAAGCCCATCATAAACCAAATTATAACTGCCTTCAGAGGTGGAGATCCCTCTCTGTCCTAGAGAAGTTACTTGTTCACTGGGTAGAAAGGGAATACCCTACTTGGCATTTTTGGAAGAAATAAATCAACAGAATAGGGAAATAAATTGGGGATCTCATAGCATCTGGTGAAGCTTTCCCTCTTTCTCCATCCTTCCAATTCATGGAGATAACAGCTAGGTTACTACCAAGCCAAATCTTAACCACAAGGGTTTATCTTTACTGTAGAATTAGCATGAGCTTTTACTTGGGCACTACCATTTCACTCGGATCCCATACATATATCACCCAAATATGGCAGGGCTTAAAAGCCCAGCTAGGTAGTGTTTTACAGAGGTTGAATCCAGAGTCTTCTTATACTTGGACAGACCATCCACCCCATATGCAGTGAGATAACAGGTTAAAATACTCAAATGCTGATAGACCTGCAGCACCATCCTTCAACTCTCACTATATACCTGAGAGAGAAGTTCTCTTCATGGTTTGCTAAGAAAGACTCAAAGTGTAGTTCATCTTATTATAGCATAAAGAACCATCAGATATGTTCCTAGAAAGCCTAGCAGCTCATTATAAATTCAGAATTCTCAAATGTGGATAAAATCAAGGATGGGAATGTAGCTCCTCATACCTGGGTGCCAATCATCCAAGTTTAACTCCACAATAAATATATACCCTCTGAATTTGGCTCAGTAGAGAGAGGACTCACAGAAAAGCACTCACATTAAAAAAAATAAACTATTTTCTCCTTTTTCTTATTCTGCCTACTTTTGCTAGTACATGACACTTCGGTCATAAGCTTCCATCTTTTGGTATAAGTGAGAAATATGTTGCCTGGATTTTGTAAAAAAATCTTACCATAAAATATGTGCTAGAAAGCCAGACTGCCAAAAATAAGGACATTCAATATAATAAAATAAAACCTACCTTCCTGTTTTGGAATATCATGAAAATTGACATCCATGGAGCTATTCTCCAAACAGATGAGTATAAAATTTTACTTCAGTACAACTTCAGTGAACCGGTGGAGGTCAAATGGGCAATGGTTCTGAGAGGGGGATGGTAGGAAATACCTTTTAGTTTGATAAATTCTTATGATATGTTTCAAGAGAGAAAGTGGATTCATGCTATTAAGTAAAGATAGTTCTTAAAATAATGTATCTGTCATTTTTTTATTCAATTTGAAATTCTGTAAAATTAATCCAATTTATAGATATGTTCTTTTAAAAAATGATTCATGTGCATTGGCTAATTCATCATATGCAACAGGAAGAATTTCATACAAGATAGCACATTTTCCTTTAAGAAGTTATTTTTCCCCTTTAAATCCATTTACAGTTGTTTAGCAGCCTGGATGTTCTCAATCCAAAAATGTCAAGAACAAAGAACAGGAAACTCCTCAAATTTAAAAATGAGCATTTACTAAATACTGATAAAGTGAAAATTAGCATAGCTGAAATTATACTCAGTGGATGTGTCTACACATGACCAGTGCTCCCTCTAAGCTGTGCGTGTGCGTGGCTGCACACAATAAAAAATCATGCAACGCAACAATGGAGGACCCGCGTGCACCTCCCTGCTGGCTGCAGGGGGGAGGGAGAACACATTGCAGGGTGGACCGAAGCGGCACATGCTGAAAGGGAGAGGCAGGACCAATTTAGGAATGGACTGAAGCAGCGTGCTCACAGACTGCTATACCTTAGAGGGAACATTGCACATGATGCTACGTCGCTGTAGCAATGCACTACAGAGACGTAGCATCGGTGGGCAAAAACTGTGATGCTGCAGCTATGTTGCCACAGCTACGCACTCCCTTGGTATACTGCAACACTACAGTGACATAGGGGCTAAAAATACTGTGCACCGTGAAAACGGCGGAGTATGGGTTGTACTGCACCACGATTTAGTACTAAACGATGGTGCAGTAACAACAGCGCCATAGGGGCATGTGTAGACATGACCAGTGCTTGCAAACCTAGCTATTGCAGCCCATGTTATCAAAACTTA